ATCTTAACACCATATAGTATTTATGTGCTCAACAGCTCTATACTTCAATAGTACAGGAGAGCCTTTTGAAAAGTCTTTGTCTCCTCCCAGGGTAAGACTGCTCCGGCAGACAGATGGGGACAGGTGCACCCCCTGCCCTCCCTTCCCTGCCAATTGGTTCTGGTCTCTATCATCACAAACCGAAGACTGTCAAAGAAAGTTCAAAATGTTCTTTAGCAACAGGTAGGCAATCACTCATTTTACACGAAGTCAAGAAAGACTGTAAAATATATTTGGAGGTCTGCCAGCAGCACGAAGCCACTTGCAGTCTGGAGACTGGCCACAGTTCTTGAACACTGATGACATAAATAGGGAAAATTCATCAAACTAATACTAAATGCAGGCTTCATCATCTTAAAAAATTAAGTGGTTGCACCAGAAACCCCAAAGTCCATATTTCAGGCAGTGTGAAGTTTACAAAATGCTGTCTACAATTTAAGAAACTGAATTCTGGCATGAACAAAAACATTTGTCATGTTAAAAATTAGATTTTGAATGACAAAATGGTGCTATTTATTTTGAAAGGCAATTAAGACATTGTTCCCAGTGACAGAAAAATATAGAGATAATATACACTGAGTTATAGATTACCTATCAGAAGAGTTCAATTAATGATAACTATATTCCAAAGAGAAGCACTATGTAAACTCTTAGAAGCTGGGGGCTCCATGTAACTAATTTCTCCCTTGGATCAGTACTAGTTGGAGTCAATAACCACATCTGCTACAAATAACACATCTATATCATCAGTTTTATTTTTGTGGATATTTTTGGCATTTGCTGTAATTCTGTTTTTACATTTATTTATTTATTTATTTATTTATTTATTTAGTGTGTGTGTGTGCATCTCAGCACATGCATACCTCTGTGTGTGTGTGTGTGCACGCACATGCATGCACACATGCATGCCATGTGGGTCCTGAAACTCTACTGCAGGTCATCAAGCTTGTAGCAAGTGTCTTCACCTACTGAGCCATCCCAACTTATCTTAATTTTTTTCTTTACAGGCTCTCCCTAGCCCCAGCCTGCTTGGAACTCACAATGTAGACCAGGCTGGCCTTGATCTCACAGAGATTAGTCTGCCTTTGTCTCTTGAGTGCTGGGATTAACAGTGTGGGCCACCACGCCTGGCTATATCTTAATTCTTGATCAAATTTAAGGAGCTCATTAAATTAAAAAAAAATCTTCTTATTCTTTTTTTTTTTTTTTTTTTTTTTTTTTTTTTTTCTGCTGACCTTGATCTCAAAGATCCACCTGCCTCTGCCTCCTGAGTGCTGAGACTAAAGCCATGGGCCATCATGCCCAGCTAATAAATAAAAAAATCTTATTTTAACCAATTGACATAATTAGACTTGGAAGAATTTCCTCAACCGAACAAAGACTTGAGGTATTTTTTGCTATTCCAATGATCATTGTGGAAAGAAAGTGATCTTGGGTAAAGGTGTAAAAGTATATAGAATGAGTCATCAAGTTTAATCATCCTCAAGTTTAAAAACTTTGCAAGTTTTTTATAAATTAAATTTTAGCCAGGCAGATAGATCTTCAGGATTTTTGTAGTGGCAGCAGCAAAAACTTACACCAGCCTGGTGTGGTGGCTTATGCCTGTAATCCCAACACTTGGGAAACTGAGGTAAGAGGATCCTCATAAGGTTTGATACCAGCCTGGTCTACATAGTGAGTTCCAGCCAGTCAGGGCTACATAAAGACATCCTGTCCCCCCAAAAAAGAAAAGAAAGAAATAGCCCTACCCCCTCTTATATAAATGGTAGGTCATTTTTCTATAATATCTAGATTATATTCTCCATTTGTCTTTAACCCTGTTGCTTTTGAAATTAATTCTAAGTTAATTTCAGTATTTTTAAATATGCTAAAATTTATTGACAGTAACATCTTTTTATATTTTGGATAGAGTCATGAAAGGTTTTCTATATTGTGTGGCTTTACTATGGTCATTTAAATTTGGTTCAAACTTCACATTTCCCACTGTAAATAAAAATCAATGAGAAGAATAGAGTTCTCTGTAATATTGCTCACAATGAACTTTGATGAAATGCATCTTAAATTGTTTGTCAAGGAATATTAGATATATTTTATATGTGTGTAATTTTTCTATGATACCAGACATGCTGCTGGCTATGAATCTGACGTTATCTTGCTAGAAAATCTTTTCTCTTGGTTTCTTGGTCAGACTGGCAAAGGACTGTAAAATAATCAAATGAACATGTAATTTAACCATTCCAGATCATTCAAGTACAGGATTCTGTCACACAACATCCAAAAATGCTGCTACCACACACTCAAGTTTACTATGCGGTTACACAACCTGTCCTTTTATTCCTAAGGGGAGAAGGCAATCACATGAGACCTGAGCAGTGCCTGAGTCATTTGATATACTGTCAGCACTCCTTATAGCTAAATCTTCATATGCACTGAGTGGAACAGTCTGAATTATACCATTGTCTCTGGATGTGCTGTGGCATTAGCATCCACAAAGAAAAAATAATGAAGCTTATATGCGTGCTCTGTATTTGTCTTATACTGTTTTAATTTTTTTTTTTCCCAATCCATGACATGAATTCTGAGGATTTCTTTTAAGGCTGCTTAAAACAATAGTTTAATTGAAAATTCTCTTCTGTAAAATCACTCAACTTCTTTCTTTTGTTAAACAATCTGGTGTGTGCCTTGCATGCCCCTCCTCCCCATCCTTCCCATTTGGTCTTAGAGGCAGAATGAAGCCGCTTTCACTCCAGGGAACACTGGTCAGAATGCCACTTTTGCGTGAGCATCCAGAAATGCGCCAATGTGGGGGTTCCCTGCCTGTAATTCCGAGATTCAAATACTGAGGGTTCCACCCATCTCCATGATGGAGAAGACCACCAGGCGATCCTAAAAAGACGCATGATGGAAGATCAAGTCTCCATTGTCAAGCTCCCATACAAGGGGAAGATGTCTCAAAAAACACACCCTAAGTGGAGGTCGGTCGGGTCGGGGAGACTCAGGAACCAGAGAGGCCGGGGGCCAGGTGGTGGCCCTCAGCCCAACATGCTCTGCCAAGACCCGCCCTGCCCCGCCCCACCCCACCCGGCCCCGCCCCTCAGCCAGCGCCTGGTCCTTGGCCCGCGGGTCAGCGCACGCGCGTCCATGCTCCTGGTCACCACTCTAGGGCCCTTGTCGTCTGCATGTTCCCAGGCGAAGCGCTCTGGCGCGACTGTGCACGGTGGGAGGGGAGCAAAGATACTGCAAGCCCGCGTGTAAAAGGCGCGAGTGGTGAGCGTGAGCGGGCTGGACCTAGAGTCATCTCGTCTCCATTTTATGTCCCCAGGAACTGCCGGGCAGCTAGGGGCAGCGTCAGGGCGGGATCTCCCGGAGGGAGGCGGGTGAGACCGTTAGGCAGGAACACCCGGGGACGAACCTGGCAGCTTGGGCCACCACCCGCGCCGCTATAAAAGCCTCTCGCGGCTTCCCGCCCAACCAGCTTCGCGCTGATTGGTCGCCGTGGGAGGGACCGGAGTTGGCTGGAGGCGGTGGCCCAGCTCTGCTCCCGTGCTGCCCCCGAGGGAGCGCACTGGGTGCTGGGGACCCGCCCCTCGCACTCCCCACCCGCGGCTCAGCAATGCAGGGCAGGTACAGCCACACCTGGCAGCGGCGCAGGGTCCCCTCTGCCAGCTTTCCACCGGTGCTGCGCGGCACACGCCCCCCGCCCCAGCGATCTGCCCATCCCAGCCAGATCTCTGCCGCCCCAGCTCTCCTTTTCTTGCTCCTGGTCCATCAGGACTCTCAAGCGCAAATCCTTGGGTGGGGTGGGGGCAGCAGCTGGAGGGGAGGGTGGGCACACACAGAAGAATTTTTCCGGGGAGGCCGAGATGGAAATAGACAAAATGCAAAGCGCCTCGCTCCCTCCCACCCGACTGCTGAGGATCTCTGGGCGGCGGCGCAGCCCCCGCCACCCGCGACAGCATCCCTACAGTCTCCCTCCCCAGAACCCTATTGTTCAGACTTTGCCAGGATCAGGAACCTCGCCCAAAGAAAGGAGAATGGGGCGAGGTGTCTTGGGCAGCTGGCTACCTGCCATTCTTCTCTGGCACCGTGCAAACCCTGGGCTCACGGTGCGTGTAAAGGAACACGCGCGCACACACGCGCGCACACACACTAGGCAGCTCGGATCACGCCCTCCTCGCCCTCCTCCCCACCGCACTTCCTCCTGTCAAAACGCACCGCTCGACCCTCCCATCCCTCGGTGCCCGGACTGAGGGCAGGCTTTGCAACTACCCAGCAATTTGGCAAATGAAAAACTAACGTCATATGCACGGGGGTGCAGGAACGACCACACAGCCCTGAGATGCTGCCCAGTTTTGCCCCATTTTGCAAACCGTTATTCGGGGAGGGGAGGAGGGGGTTATAAGCAAAGGCAGCGAGCCCCACTTTTTACACCCCAAGAAATAGCGATGGGGGGCGGGGGGAGATGCCCTGGCCTTATTGTTCACTCTCCTCGGAGCTGAAGCTTGACAAGCCCCTTCCGGGTGGAAAGCGAGCTCTGGAGGCGACACCACCGGAGCCCTGGCATCCCCCGCCGCCCGCCTTCAAGGAAAGAGCGCTGCCCATCGCGGCGCGACCTCAGCATCTCCGTCCCCGGCGTCCCTCCCTGTCCCCGGCTGGCCCCGCTGCCACCGCGGCAGGCACACAAAGTGGGAAGGGCGGGCGCGCTGGAGGGCGCTGGGGACCGTGGAGCGGGGACGCAGCCCCAGCCCAGAGCTGTCCGGGAGGGCACCGGGTCCGGCTGGACAAGCAAGGAGGATGCGCTGCGCTTGCTTCTCAGCTCAGTGAAAACGACCAGTCTTACTTAGCATTCTACACGAAATCACCCAAAGAGCCAGCCGTGTTCCTCGGGAGGGGGAAGGACAGGGGCAAGGGGACAGTTAGCAAACCAGACCGAGAAATTAGAATAAAAATAAAAATTGTACCTGCAGTTCCCAGGAAAAACAAAGTCCAGATGAGATCCTTAGTTTGCAGCATTTTAAACTGCCTGCTGGGAGCGATGTTCTTGCCGCGGTAAATTCTGTGCCTTCCCCTTGCAAGCGAATGTGGACGGCGGCAGAGCAATGGACCTAGGGACAGACAATTGCCAGGCTGAGTATGATTATTTTTGCAGAATTGTTTCCTGCCAGCGGCTGCCGAGCTGCGTTCACGCGCAGAGCGGAGAATGAGTGACAGTCCCAAGCCTCAGCACACTCGCAACTCGGAGATCCTTGCGCTGGCCGGGGTTGGCTTTGATGGAACAGGGGATGGGAGCGAGGGGCGGGGGGCGGGGGTGAGAACCTCACTGTGTCCTTCCACCACGCCGACCACAAATAGTGCCGAACATCAAGGAGGTAAGAGACAGGGGAGGCAGATGCGGCCGCCTGCAAAACGCGGCCTGGAGTTACTGAGGGAGCCGGGTCCTATCGCATGCAGTTAGGCAGAGCTGGGATATTCTTCCTCCTCCTTCATGTCCTGGAGAATCCTTCTCCTACCCAGCGTGCCTTCATCAGTACTTTGAACATTTTAATAACCGGTAAAAATAATTAAGACAAAATTTGTGATTCGGTTAGGTTTTCAGAGTTACAGAATCCCTCGTTTTAGATCCTAAGGTCTTTGCAATAGGAAACATATAGCTTCTCTCTCTCTCTCTTTTTTTTTTTCCTTTTTAAATACAGGAAATTAGAAATTTGGAGACTGGGGGATTGTTGCTGAGGTTTGTTTTGGAATTGTTTGTATGTCTGTGTGTTTGTTTTCTCCTGGCTTTGAAGTTTGCCTTCTTACAGAGGGACAACACATAGAACACCAAAGCAGATCCCAGGGGAGGAGGTGGGACGCCAGTTAGAAGAAAATGCAGATGCTTAGAACTGGCAACCAGAAGAAATGTTCTCGTGTACAAGTATTGAAATCTCTCTCTCTCTCTCTCTCTCTCTCTCTCTCTCTCTCTCTCTCTCTCTCTCTCTCTCTCTGGCCAAGCCTTCTCTGTAGGTTTTATGACAAAATAACAATATTAACATTATTTTTCTTCAAGAAGACACAACCTATCTTAGGTATATGAAAATCAAATATTACTGAAATATCAACATAAAGACTTTCATTAATCATACAACCCTTTTTTTTTTTTCTTAAAAAGAAGGAGGTGGGGAGCAGGGTGAAATAAACACACATTTTCTCCTCGGTGTGCAAGAAATACTGATGAGGGTTCTCTGGAAGTGGCCTTGCTCTGTTAGCCTTGCACAGTGAGACCCTCCAACAGATGAAAACATTATTTCACCAACATTAATAAGCACTGCCGTTTGCTTTAAAGATCAGAAAGTAGTCAGAAAACCCACCCTCTGCTAACTGACTAGTCACCCTCCATCTCACCTCCCCTTCATGTCTCCTATGGTACAATATTCCAAGTAGACCACACCACATGCTGTGACTTCCAGGGATGCCTGAGAAGTAGTTCTCCCCCAAACGAACCCTTCATATATACTTTTGTAATATTTGCCTCATACTAATTATAAAAAATTCAAAAATATAGAGAGTGGAAAGGTATGACGAATAACTCCATGCCCCACAGATTCCAGAGAGATCTGGATTTTCTAAGTCTTCTATACATGCATGTGATTTTGTTTGTGTGTGTACATTGTCTGCCTTCTTTTTTCAGACAGAGTCTCTCACTGGCCTGGAACTCTCCACTAGTAACCTAGGCCTGCTAGGCACTAAGCTCTAGGGGTCTACCTGTCTCTGCCTCCCAAACCGTTGGCTTTTTTTAAACGTGGGTTCTGTTCTGGAGAACAATGTCAGGTCCCTGTGCTTGCAAGGCAAGCACTTTACAGAACTATCTTCCTAGCCCTGCATACAGTTTTTATAATTGAAACATTATAGCAGCAATTTGAAGCCTGCTGATTTTTCCTAATGTTTCATATAAGCATTTCCCTGGAGTCATGAAAAAAGCTTTCCAAATATTTTCATAACTCTGTAATATTTCTTGTATGGATGATTCCTCGGTGTTCCCCAGCATTAGATATTTAGATTACTCACAGAGTTTAATAATATAAATAATACTTCCATGAACTTCTACCCATAAGTATTTGTTAGGAAGTCACTGTGCTTCGTCCTGTGTTTGATATATGTGCTATATATTGATCTGAAATGTCCCTCCAAGGCCCATGTACTAAAAGCTTGGCCACAGGGCAGCTCCACTGGGGGTAGGAGAGGGTAGAACAATTAAGATGTGGGGTTACTAAAAAGAAGTTCACTTAAGGTGTGCCTTCAAGGCGATGTTAGCCTCTCTCTCTCTCCCTCCCTCCCTCTGTCCCTCCCTCCCTCCAGTCCTCTCTCCCTTCTTTCCTCTTTCCGTCCCTCCCTCCTCTCTGCTTTCTAATGACTATAAAGTAAACTTTTTTTTTTCTCCTTCAAGTCCTCACCTATATATGCTGCTTTGCAACAGGCCCAAATGCAGCAAAACCAAGCTACCACAGACAGACCCCTGAAACCGTGCCCAATAAACCTTCCCTCCTCACAAGTGATTTAATCAGATACCTGTCACAGAGACAGAAATCTATCTAACACTGTATGTGTATTATATACATTTGTACACACTAATGGTTACTGTTTGTGGCTTGATGCTACCTTTTGCCAAGGTGTAAAATAACCACACTATACCCTTTAACTTTATGTGGATGAATGCATCAGACTGTTTCCTAATTAAGAGGTTTCCAGAATAGAGAAAGATGAAGAGAGTAGGTTGGGGGTGGAGAGGAGTGAAGGTTGGAGCACTCGAAATAAAATTTATCTAATTTTACCACCCAGAGTGAGAGACACACCCGTTCCTGCAAACCTCCCTCCCTTATAGCCCATGCCAGTAGAATTAAAAGATTCTTAGCTACTTTTCTCCTCAAATGTCCCTATTTTTAGTCCTTCGATGTAGACAAGTGTGGAAATCCTATCTCACTTCAGCATGACTGGCTTTTTTTTTTTCTGTCTCTCCCCAACCCCTCCCAGTGCTATGAAGCTGTTCCCTATTGTAATGACTCATTCTAGAATTCTGCCCCAGTTACTCCAGTCTGTGCTCCCAGGATCTCTCCCATCTTCTTTTAGCAGGATGCTTCACTGTTCTCCAGTTCTTTAGTCCTTTCTCATGTTATGTTTTAAAACTCCCTGCTGAGCATTTGTCCTTAAATTGGATTAACCTGTGACCTTAGGTACACTTCTGCCTGTAGAGAGAATCCAAGCTGTTACGTACACATCAATAAGCAGCTATCATACAAATGTCCCCATGGTCAATACAAAGGAAGGAGACATCCAACCTATGAGTAGAAAGAGATATTTGTGTGGTTTAAGAAGACAGCCACAGAAAGAAGGCCAGCCAGGGGCCCAGATTAGTATTAGAGTGATGTGGCATGGCTTAGTTGTAAGAAAGTGAAGTGGGAAAGGGAATACGGATTTGAGAGACACTTCCAAGATGAACAGAGTGGAATTTCAAAACTTCCAAAGATTTGAGTCTGAGATAGACGTTCCAAGCTCCTTTCATTCACTTACAAATATCTGATGAATATCAACCAAATGCCTGGTACTGTTCTCGACAGTCCAGAGCAGTGGGCTTCCAGTCTTATAGACAAGACAGACAATTGTTAGACATCTGATATGCAAGTAATGATAAGTTCTAAAGACAGCAATAAAAAAGAAGGGTATGGAATGGGAGTCCTGGGTGTAGAGGGATTGCCATTCTGGGCAGAAGTTTGATGTAGAAACATTTGATACAAATCTAGAGAAAAGGTCAAGATCGAAGCTTCCAGTACAGGCAATTGAACAACTGGTGGTGACAAGGACAAACAGGGAAGGACAGAAGATTCAGGCCAGATGATGAGCACAGGAGTAAAGGTATCAGCTCTAGAGATTTTAGGTCTGAAGTCTAGGAAGGACATCCAGTGAAGACGTGCAAAAGACAGACTGGTATAGCGTCAGTGCTTAAGGCACTGGCAGAAGGAACTGCCAAGGGAATAGAGCAAAGGCAGGTGGGGAGAAAGGAAAACATGGCACTGTCATAAAACCTAAAGGAGGAGAAACTTCTTTTGAAGTAGTCAAAAATAATGGTTCAAAAGACCTTCGTGGATTTGATCCTTATAACGAAACATCCTTAGTGGGCTCTCGGAGAGCAAATTTGTGGAGTGATGGGAATGGAAACATCTCTATCCTCAGGATAAAAGGACAGAGAGGGAGGAGGGACAGTCTTTCCAGTAGTGGGAGATGTCGGAGAGTGTGAACAGGACAAAGAAGAGAAGGCAAGCTTGAGGGAGGGGAAGCTGGAGGGGGTTTCCTTTGCTTCCGGTGTATTTCTCTGATCGTTGCTTTTGCAAGGCTAGGGATTGAACCCAGGGTCTTCTGTGTGTCATCAAAGTTCTCTACCACAGACTACACCCTGAGCCTTCTTTGTTACTCTTTTGATATGAATATGTTATTATCATAAAGTAAATTAAATCAGTTAGCAATTCTTGCTCACAACCACTGTGACCTTATAGTAATGTGACTTACGGCTTTGATAAATGAACTTGGTCTAGATGCTAGAACAGTGTCCCCATCTAGGACTGTTTTGCTACTGCTATTGGTAAGAGGAACACCAAATATTAATGTGAGACTCATAACTACTCTAGGATTTTGTTTTACTATTGACCTGGGTAAAATGCATTCTGGGAAGCACAGCAGCTTAAGATCAACATAAGAAGCAGTGAGGGACCTCGGGCTAAAATAGGCTAGAAAACAGCTGTGTCCCAAATGTTAAGGATGATCTAGGAAAGTATTAGGACCAGAGGATGAAATTGAACCCATAAATCTAGAGAGTGAGAGACCCTAGGGAGCCCTCAGTCTACTTCTTTACCTTATATTTCCGAGCTCTCTTGCAACAGAGCTGAAGCAAGCTCCTTCCCACCCTGCTCAAGGCTGGGCCCAGCACTTATTAAGGACTTCTGGATGCTCATCAGTAATTCCATCTGGCTGGTACTGGGGACTTCCAATGCAGGGAAGAAGTGAGGGATCGACCCAGAACCACTTTTTCCCTCTACAGGTTGCACACTGCACAGCTTCAAAGCATGCCTTTCAAATCCCACTCATCATATATTAATATAGTTGTTATGACAGTTTTTCTGGCATCCAAGGAAGTAAAGCATTGAGGAAGAAGTGCTGTTTTCCTCTGCTTGCTTTCTTATTATGGAATTGAGAGGTTTATTAGAAGGTGCTTTGGGGATCAGCTTCTGTGTGGGAAGGGAAAGTAAA